GGGGGGGGGGGGGGGGGGGGGGGGGGGGGGAGGAGGAGCTGCTGGTGGCTGGGGAGAGAGCCTCCTAGAAATATTGCCTTCAGAGTGAGAGACTCACTGAGCCCAAATCTACCCTCAGAAGACTTCTCCTCACGCAGCAGAGCTCAGCTAGCACGTCTCTTCCCAGAACCCCATGCAAGTCAGCAGTCCTGTTGGCCAATGCTCTGAGGCTGTCAGAAGGGAAGGCAGGATTCGTCCTTTCATATCCCCAGCTGAGCACATCTTTAGTCAGGGCTGGCCCCAAGCAGCCCGGTCACTGCGTCCAGGACAAAGCAGTAGGAAGTCCCAAGGAACTAAATAAAAAAGTGTAGTCAGGAGGCAGAACAAAGAGGCCACACTTTTTGTGTGGTGGCTCCAATGGCCAGGTGACAGGGAGCACGGTCCCAGCTGCCTGCTGGAACTTTCCCTTCTCCAGCCCTCTCTGCAGTTGGTGATCTAGGTCAGTGACCATCATAATGGGTGAGAGAAGAGAAAAGTAAAAAAGCAGATCCTTCAGGGCAACAATGAAAACTTGGCTGAGAATGTGCTGCAGGGTTCACGGGAGACTGAGCAAATGATATGCAAAGCACATGCAAATTTGCCCCTATCAATGCATTCCCAGCCAGGCTCATTCTCTTTAATCTCTAGCTGGATGATCCTTGTGAAGACCATGTCCTAGATAGAAGTGGGAGCCATTCCAATTTCTGTCCCCTTCTGGAATGTTCTGTGAGGAGCCGGTCACATCCAGGAAGGCTCAGCTCTTGGGGTCCAGGTCTACTCTGGCAGGAGTTTATGCTTCTGGACAGGAGCAGCCCATGTGGGGTCCCAGTTTGGGGATCAGGACCAACACCAGATAGTCTTCCTAGGACTGTCTGCCTCACCCCTGGAGGCTAGTGCCACCTTCTCTCTCTAACATCGCTTCAGGGTTCCACTGGGAAGATGCCACACAGGGGAGTTCATAATCTGTGAAGTGGGAACTGAGAGGCTAATCAAGTAATCTCCTACCCAAACGAGCAGCAGTCGGTGTAGTCCCATCTGGTAGGACCCTTCCCTTCAGGGAAGACACAAAAATCCACAGGAAAGGATCTTGCCTATAGCGCAGAGAGGAGGGGCCTCTTCCTCCGGGGCATGTGGGACATGTGTGCAGTGCCCTGTGAAATCTTTTCTGCTAAATTCTATGTCGTTAGGGAGGAGGGAAAGAGGTCAGCAGAGGCTTGACCTCCTAGACAATGTGCTGGGGCCTATGGTGGCGGCAGATGCCTCAGTAGGGAGTCTGATGCTGGCTTAGCTCTGAGATGCTGGCTGACTTGCTTGGGCAAACAGCCTGTCCCTGTTACACACACCTCTGTCAGCCCTGCTCCCCTCCGACTCCTCTCCCTGATAAAGTACCAGCAATAGCGAGTGGACCATCTGCCTCTGCCCCCTCGTTTCTACAGCATTGCTCGAGCAGACCCTCAGAACTGATCTAACCCTGACTGCCAACAAGCTGAGACCACTGGAGGAGAAAAGGACCAGAGTCTGGCTGCTCTGAACCCAGCCTGGACTTACAGGGCCTTTCAGCTCTTCTTCAAACTCAAGTGAGGGGAGAGGGCCCCCATCCCAGAGCCCCAATCATTCATGCAGAATGGAGCAAGGTCACCAGTCCGGGGCGCCTGGGAGCCAAGGCAGCACCAGGTGGGTCTCTGTAGATTATTAGCAGTCAGGATGAGGGCAAAAAAGTGAGAGAGGAAAGAAAAGGAACAGAAGACTAGGAGGGAAGGGGGAGAAAGAAAGACAGTAGAGGAAGAGAGAGGAGGGAAATAAAGACAACTGAGGAGGAGGAGGAAAGGAAGAGAAGAGGGGCTCCAGGTCGCCCACCGCTGCCTCACTGCTCCCTTGACATTCCGGCCCCACCCTGCTTAAAGGGAGAAGGTCTGACCATCGCAATGACATCCTCTGTTATCACTCCTTCTAGCCTCTTACATAGGCGCAGCCCTCCACACCCGGGCCTCACCAACCTTAGAGAGCATTTGCTGACCACCTGGGGACAGACACGCCACCAGGCTTGCGATCACCACACCTGTCCCCTGGCTGGGTCTGCTCAGACCCTGGTTGGAAGGATACTGTAGTGTCTTCATGTAGTTCTGAATTGCCTGGAGCCAGTCCGGGATCGACATCGACAGCCTGTAGTTTGGAACCTGGGGTACTGAAGGCTGCAGAGAAATAGAGAGAGGTCTTTTCATCAAGGAGATGCTCTGGGGCCCAGTGCCTGGGGACAAGGCTGAAACCACTGGAGAGCCGCTCCTGAGAGCACACGGCCACCCTGGTGTGGTCACCTGTTCAAGCTGAACAGGTGGAGGGAAGGGGGAGAAAGAAAGACAGTAGAGTACAAGAGCCTCAGCACCTTCTTGAGGCCCAAGACCATGTCCTATAGGGTCCCCCACCAAGCCTGGCCCAGGATGTTCACAGAGGCGCTCCATTAATCCTCACGTTTTACTGTACGACTGAACCTTTTGCTGCACAGCTGATGTGGATACGAGATGAATGGTGGCCTGAAGAAATGCAACATGGCGCTACAGGTGCCATTACTCCTCAACACCAGCCCCTGCAACGCCCATGGAGTCCCTTCCCCGAGTCCAGCCCCAGGTGCCTTACTCTTTCCAGGTGAGTGCAGCTCCTCTGACTTGTGAGCCCTCTTACCCTTTCACCCCTCATGGTTGCCCAGTCACCTCTTCATTTCCTAGTCTGCCTCATGGTCAACACTCACCAAGTGTCCACAGTTGAGTGTTCAGAGATCTAATCCCTGCTGGCAGGAGAAAGGAGCCAGGGCAGACAAGGACTGCAAAGGGGCAGGTGGGTGCCTCCTCTCAGGAATTTAGAGATAAGACACCCCCCAGTCTGAGCAACCCTGCTAACGGGGCCAAGAGTGAGAACAACCAGGGGCTTCCAATCCAGTCACCCCTGGGAGGCAAGGGATGGCTTTGCCTTTATTGCCCCTATATGTCTCTCAGCCTCTCTGGTGGGGTGGGGTCGTTGGCGACAGAGAATCTTAGCCCACGTGGGCCTGCGGCTCCGGCAGCGCTGCTGCCAGGAAGGCAAGCGGAGGCTCCTCCAGGCTTAAGCCACTTAGGGAGGAGCAGAAGGGGTCTCAGAGCAGATTAGCTCCATCCTCTGAGAAACAAGGAGACAGAGGGCCCGGGGATTCAGCGCTGAGCTGATGGAAGGGGAAGCTGCTGGTGAACAGACTTGGGGACAGCCCCACGGTGAAGCTGGAGGGTGTGCCCCTGGGCCTGAGGCGGGAAGGTCTTCCACACTTCTGCATTTACTTCAAAGGCTACTAGACATTCCTTTCCTCTCAGAGCCTCCATTCTCTCCAGGCCTTGAAGCTTCCTACTTCACAGCAACTGCCCCTTCAACAGAAAGGAAACAAGTCAGCCCTGTTCCCAGCCAAGGTGCTGTGCGTGTGTGCGTGTGTGCGTGTGTGTGCACGCGTGCATACACAGCTGTTCTGCGAACTACATTTTGTTTATAACATATCAACTGAAATCACATTCCTGTCTTAGAGAGTCATTTTTGGGAGCGAAATGTTCCAATCTGAACATTTGCTCACATGACCTCCCCCATAAACACACACACACACGCAGAGTCAAAATACAAAGTGTAGCTTGTATTTCTGCCTAACAAACACTAGGAAGTGTGAAGCTTGCCCTTATTTTTTGCAGTAACATCCACTGATCTATCCATACCTGGGATTCAGTGTAAGAATTCACAGAGAGATGGAGAGAGAAGGGGAGATGCGAACACACGTTCTTTAGCACCCGCTGGGTTCCGAGCTCTAGGCCAGGTACATAGGGGAGGCAGAACAGGGACAAAGGAACGGAGGAGGGAAATTATACAGTTTATTAAGGCATAAGCTTATTTCTACACAGAAAAGTGCTGTTTGTACTTTTTTAATAGAAAAGCTAGTAAGCATGGAAAAATGACCCAAAGAATCACTGGCCACCTAAGGGATCCCCAGAGGGGCGTCCCTTGGCCAGAGCCCTGTGATAGCCAGAGTGACCTGGTTCACAGTCGGCTTTGGGGACTGACCACCAAATTATTTCAACTCCCCCAAGCCCAACAGAGCTCACAAGAGCCGGATGGTGGGGTGGGAGTCAGGCAGCAGCTGGTCCTCAGAATAGCAGCCTAGTGGCGCCCAAGGGCTTTTAAAAACAGCTGCCTGGTTACCTCAGCCCTGGCTGAGAGCGAGTGCAGGAGCTGTGGCCACATTCCCCAAACCCCAGCTGGGGAGCAGAGCTGTGGTGGGGAGAGGAGCCGAGACTGCGGGGGGATGATGTCATCAGGCTACAACTCACCCTGATGTCTGGGATAGCTGGCTGGGGCTCAGGCTGGGGGCAGCTCCCAACCAGCGCCTCGGGCGGCCAAGGCCCCCACAGGATGATGGACTATCAACCAGGTGGGCTCCTTGGGGTGTAATGACGAGGTTCGAGTCCCTGCTCTATCACCTACTAGCACGGACCCTGGTCAAGCTGCATGAACTCTCCAAGCCTTCAATTCCTTCCTGATAAAATAGGAGAATGTCATCTGCTTCCAACCTTCTGGGCTGGCTGTGAGGATTATGAGACCTAATGCATGAAGAGTAGGCAACTTGGGGTTTGGCACTGAGTGCTCTTTAAGTGTTAGCTGTGTTATTATTCATCAATAATGTGTTTTAGGGGGTCTAGACTGGCGAAGCCTAAATGGTCTTCGCTTTTCTGAAACTGGAAAACAGAACCAGCAGGGCCTGAGTTCCTGGACGCTCAACTCAGGAGTATCATGAAGATGTCTTCTCACCCAAATGGAAGAGAATGAGAACATCCACCTGCCCCTGGGGACACAAGGTGACCATGAGCTAAAATCCTTAACTCACGAAGAGTTCATGCAGGGTGATAAGGAAACTCTTTAGACCTCAGTGAGAAAAAAAATGACCCTCAAAGGTGGAAACAACCCAAGTGTCCGTGGATAGATGAATGGATAAACAAAATGTGGTACAGACATACAATGGAATATTATACAGCCTTGAAAAGGAAGGACATTCTGACACATGCCACAACGTGGATGAACCTTGAAAATATTATGCTAAGTGAAATAAGCCAGTTACAATAAGATGAATATTGTATGATTCCTCTTATATGAGGTTCCTATAGGAGTCAAATTCATAGAGACAGAAGGTAGAAGGGTGGTTGCCAGAGACTGAGGGGAGGGAGGAATAGGGAGTTAGTGTCTAATGGGTACAAAGTTTGAGTTGGGAAAGAGGTAGGTCTGGAGATGGAGGGTGGTGATGCACAACAATGTCATTGTACTTAAAGCACAGAACTGCACACTTAAAAATGGTTAAAATGGGGGCTGGCCCCGGGGCCGAGTGGTTAAGTTCATGCACTCTGCTTCAGCGGCCCAGGGTTTTGCTGGTTCAGATCCTGGGCGCCGACATGGCCCCGCTTGTCGGGCCATGCTGGGGCGGTGTCCCACATGCCACAACTGGAAGGACCCAAAACTAAAAATATACAACTATGTACCAGGGGGCTTTGGGGAGAAAAAGGAAAAAATAAATTCTTTTTAAAAAAAGAAAGGTTAAAACAGTAAATTAAATGTTATATAAATTTTACCACAATTCAAGAAATGGCCATGAAAACACAATGCACAAAAGAAGAAAGGCAAATAATGAATAAATATTTGAAAAAATGTTCAAGCTCGCTAATAATTTAAGAAATGCAAATTAAAGCTACTGCAAAATGCATTTTTCACCTCTCCAATTAGTAGAGGTATTCTGAAATGCGGCTACTCCATGCTGGCGAGGATGCTGTCACACACCAGGATGGGAACGTAAACTGATACAACCTTTTTATGAAAAACCCACGGCACGCTCCTTTTTTTCTTCTCCCTCACGGGTCCTGGGAGTCCCTCCTCAGGTTATTTTCCTGCCCTATTTCACCTGAAACTCCAGCCGAGATTTCCCATGGCCCTCTCCCTCAAGGTTCTGGCCTCCCACCACCTGCATCCTGCTCCTCCAGCCACACCCCAGCTCAGGAAGGCAGAATCCAGAGGGAACAGATCAAAACTACCCTCTCCATACAGGCGCTGTGCCTATGGTCCGGGGGTTGGGGACCTGGGAGGTCAGGGGTAGGTAGGAGGAGAGAGTGGGATGGCCAAGAAGATGGCTATTCAAGAAGAATAATGAAACAAACCACAGGCAAGGCTTTCTGTGGACGGGCTCTCTTTCATTCCACCCTTGCCAAACACAATTACCTGTCACAAGAAGGCAAGGGGAAGTGATGTGGATGGACACAGGTGTGGAACTGGCATCACTTCACTGTGCTGGCACCAGGCAGAAGAACCTTCTCTGGCAACTTGGAGGAGAAGCACAGAACATCATTCAGAAGCCTAGGATGGGCCCCAGGCCCCCACATCAGGGGCAGCCAGGAACCTGTTGATGGCACCCTGTTAGGGAGGCCCAGGGGTCACAACCTCGGGCCGAGTAGGAAGGACAGACGGATGGTTGAGCTCAGGACAGGGGCAGGAGGGAGCTGCCCGTGTGAGCCAGCAGGGGGCAGGAGTGGGGCCCTGACTGTACAAAGGCTCACCCACAGTGCTCACACTTCCTCACTCAGGCAAGGCTGAGTCCTCTACATGTGAATTATTTCCAAATTTGGAATCAACGTGAGAACAAGGCACAAAAACGAGGGATCTGTAAGACACCAACCGCTGTTTCCTGCTGAATCCATCCTGGATTGTCTGCCCCTAGGAGAGTCCGGCTCCAGCCAGTCAAGCAGCAGCAGGAGCCGTTTCATAGGACACTCGGCCTCCCTTCCCATCCTCTATCATCCTCCAACTGAATCGTGCGGCTTTCTTGCACTAGCCCTGAAAAACCCTGGCTTTCACCTAGTCAATTGGTGACTTCAGACCCAGTAATCAGCAGGGGAGAAGCCTACAGTCACACATTCAAAGGAAGATTGCAGATACCCGGGGTGGGGTACCTGGACCTCTGGGCAGGACTTCCCATGGCTGCTAGCAGAATGTCCTGCAGCGACAGGAAGCGTCATTCAGTCCTCCTCTTTGGCCTGTGACACCTTTCCCTGTCCCCTTGTTTTGCTTCTTATTCCACATTCAGTTGCCAAAAAAGGTTAATCTCCCTGAAGCTCTCCAACCCTTCCACCACCACCCCATCACCCCACCTGTTCTGCACAAATTCGTCAGCAAGACAGACACTTGGTTAAAGCAGAAAAGGACTTGGCCCCAAAGGGAAAAGTCTGCCAAGCTGAGCGCAGGAACAGCCCTTGAAGCAGAGAGGAGTGGCCCCGGGAAACAGGAGCTTTTGAAGCTGTACCCATCTCAGGGCCTGCATAAGGGTCAGGAATGTTGGCACCTGGAAGAGGGGGGACGCCATCATGGGGCTGGAGATTCAGAACCAGCCATGATGATGCTATGTAAGAGACAGAAATGTTAAGTTCTTTATTTTGGTTCAAAAAGCCAATGCCCACGTTCGGGCTGGGGTTGTCCTGGCTCGGCAGGAGTTCTCACGTACCTCCGGGTTACTATAAGGTACAATACGACATGGCTGCCATATGAAAAAGGGAACACTCTTTTTTAAGAACACAATGTTCAGCTACAATAACACAGGTATCAAATACAGGTCTTCAGGAGTAGCAATCTGTGCTCTAAACTGCTCAGACAACATTTAGGATACTGTGTTTCATACATGCTTGTTTTAGGGGACTGACTGATGACAAATTAGCAATTGCCCTAGAAAGAGGATGAGGAGAGTGCCTTGATCTGGGACGTATGACACATAAGAAAAAGTGAAAGGAGCTACCTGCAGACAAGGAAGACTAAAGGAAGATGCAAAATGACAGATGTCACAGTTTTGAGGACTCGTAATCCAGTGCACCTCTAGTGTCCCATAGATCAGCACTGGAGACCTAGACACTCACGGGTCCTGTCATGGGATTTAAGAGCTGGAAAGAACTTTGCATGAAATCTGGTCTACTCCCATTTTATAGATGAGAAAAGTAAGGCCAGAGATTTTAAGTGAGTGACCTAGGCCACAAAGCTAGAGGTAGCACAACCAGGACTAGAATTCAGTCCCTTGATTTTTACTCCAAGTCCCTTCCTTACTCCAAAAGTGCAGTCTTGTAACATTCAAGGGCCTGTGAGCGGCAGAGGAAGTCGGCCTGTGCTGCCCTGATTCAAAGGGAGCACAGGAATCAGTGGTGACATGTGACTGAGCCAGGAGAAGGAGGATTGCTGTCAGTCTAAGAAAAGAGTTTCCCAACAAGCAAATCTGGCCCTGCCTGGGACCAGCCCTCCTTCCCCAGGAGGTCTTCAGAGAGAGGAAAGGATTCTGCAGAGAGGTGCGAGATGGCCTCAATCAACATTAACATTCCTTGATTCCTATAGAAAAAGGGAGTCCCCACACACAAGGTCGGGAGAAGGATGAAGCCACAATTAGACGCAGGGTGGGTGCTGAGGATGCTGAATTAAAAAGGCAGCATGGGACAGCAGGAACAGGCCTCTGTTCCCTGTGGCCACCTCTCTTCCAGGTTTAAGGGCTCCTGCTCCTTGAGAAAGAGAGGCTCAGTTAAGTAAGGACAAATTGTGAAGTCGGAACTGCACGCCAGCACCAGTGCTGCTCTCATGCTCAAGGAGGACTCAGCAAAAGGTAATTACAGCTGACACTAATGCAGGCAAGACTCTCGCTGGGCATAATGAAGATCTCCTTGACCTGCTGCTAATAAAACACTGGAACTTACTGCCGCAGGAAGCTTACAGACCACCCCAACCCCCCGCCCCCAAAGGGCACACATGGCTTTCTGGCCTGCAGGGTGCAGATGCTCAGGTTACCAGATGCTCAAGGTTGGGGACCAGACCAGATGGTCTTCCAAGTCTCAGGTGTGGCATTCCCAGACCTGCCCAGGAATCTTCTCAGCCATACCAGTGTCCCCAGGGTGCAGGGGAAACCATCTGCCATGCTATAATCCCCAGGGTCTGCAGCATTTCTCCCCCAGTCTGCATTTGGACATTCATGTAGCGACCACTGCACATCTCCCTCCCTCCATTTTACAAACGATACCCTTGGCCACCAAACCCAGTCAGCTCCCTGGCTTCTCTCCAAGGTAGAGAGAGTTTCGCTCCTGAGCCTCTCTTTCTCTATCCAGTGAGACTAATTCATCATGCACCCTGGAAAGTCCCTTTTAAGCCATAGTCAAAACTCTTGTTTTTTTGCTTGGAGCCCAGATAAGCTGGGAAAAGAGTTCACCGCTTTTCAAGTTTCAGAGGTGAAAGTCACTGTCATAAAAAAAAAAAAATTGGCAAAAAGTCTAGAAATGATTCACGCTCAGGAGTCTGACTGGTTGACTGCAAATTCATTCACAGCCTAATAAATCATTTGCAAGGAGGAGACAGAGGACTCCACAGAGGAAGAGCAGGGTGAGATCCTCAGGGGCTCCATGTGTTCTTGGCATCGCTGGTGCTAACTGACGGCCACAGCTTTTGCTGAAGGAGGATGTACATGGAGTGAGTAAATGAAACAGAGTTGGCTGGAGATTCAAAGAAACCTTGGCACAACCCGACCGTCCAGTCCCAGGATAACAAGCCCCCTACCTCTCTCTCTCCTTCTAAGGCTTCCAAGACAAATATCTCAATTAAGCCAAGGAGGTTGGGGGCTGGTGGGAAGAACGGGGAGGAGAAGTTTGTACCAGGACCAGGAAAATGGAAATTGTCTCTATTTGCTATGTACAGGCTGAAATGGTCCCATCACTGCCCACCCCACCCTCTCCTTTGAAGCCACTGACCTTTGCCAAGAAGGCAGCGTTCCTGATGGCGCCCACCATTTCTCCCCCCTTGGGGTGCACCTTGGCCACATGCATCCACATGCGCTCCCAGGTGTGGCTGTCGATGGGGAAGCCGCTCTTGTTAACGTGGAAGAGCACCCCGCCGTCTTTGTCCTCCTCCTCCGAGCCCCCACTCGTGGCGAGGCTCACCGGCCGCGCGTGGCTGCTCCGGGACCGGGTGCCTTTGGCGCCTTTCGCGTGGGGGCAGCGGTGAGTGTCGGTGGCGGAGCCGGTCATGGCGGGGCCGGGGCGGGGAAGGAAGTGCGGGGGCGGCGGGGGGCGCGTGGCGCGGGCACGGCGCGGGATCAGCGCCCCGCGGGGCCGGCCTTCTCCATGCCTCGAGCTGCCGCAGGACGCGCGAAGGGGGAGCGGCGGCTGGAGCTCCGCTTACGGGCCGTGCCTGAAATCAGTGGAGACACACGCACCACGGATAAGTGGACACCCATGGAACCGAGGCGGGGGCCGTGACCGCACAGTGAGCGTCCCCACATCACTCCCCCCTCGATGACAGACCCCCTAAGGAGCTGAATACCAGCTTCCAGCCCTGCAATTACCTAGAAAGGCGACTCGAATTTTGCCACAAAGCTTCACACACACCTAAACACCGGGAGGGAAATACAAGGAGACTGGAGGATGCGGAGTGGACTGGGTAGGGAGAAGAAAGACAGCTTGTGCAGCGTGAAGGAACGGGAGGTCCACGCAAGGCTCCACACATTCTTTGGTCGCCAGATGTGGCCGAGCGCGGAGCCGAGCCGCGCCAAGAACGTGCCGGCACGTGAGCGCCCGGGGCTGGCGCGAGGGCGCAGCAGCAGCCGCGGCTTGCAAAGGCGGCCCCGTTTCTTCCAGAAAGCCCTCCTGGGGCCGGGCAGGCAAGGGGGCGGCCCCAGCCCCCAGGTTCCTGTGGAAATAGCTCTCCCCGCCCGCTTTCCCCGAGTTCCAGCGCCTGGCACTCGGAGGGACCGGCTGCAGGCGGGGCGCGGGCAGGGTGCGCCGCAGCTCCGGGACCCTACCTCGGGACAGTGGGCCTCATTGCTGCGGAGCCTCCCCGGGCGGCAGGGGCGGCTGCGGCTGCTGCTGCTGCTGCTGCCGGTCCTGGGGCTGGGGCTGCTCGGGCTGCTGCGGCCGTCGCCTCATTCCATGTCCCATTCTCGAATGTTATTCTGTGACATATAACCGAGTCACCCGGGCAGCCGCCGATGTTCCGAATGCGTCCATTGGCCACCGCAACAAAGAGGGGCGGGTCCCGGGCTCGGGACTCTACAACCCGGAGCTCCGCGACGCTCTGATTGGCTCGGGGGTTCCCGGGCGGGAGGGGAGAAGGGAGGGGGGAGCTGGGCAGCCACACGAAATCCGATCGCTGCCGTGTCCTGGGATCCCCGCGGGGCTGGAGCGTCCATCCACGGGACTGAAGACCGAGTTTCCCCAGGAGTCGCGGCCCTGCGAGGGTTTGCAACTGTGGGAAGGAGAGGAGAAGCAAAGCCACCCAAGAAGTGACCCTGAGGTGGTGGGGGGCTTGCCATTAGAACAGCATTCCCTGAGGAAGGCTGGCCCGGGCACCTGCAGCTCCCAGGGAGTGACCGATAGTTCAGGCAGGGTCTGTTCACATGAAAGCACAAAATTAAATCTTATTTTAAAATCCCACGTTACACATTCCCCCAAACTAACAAGGGGACGCAGCTGGGTACCTGCTGACATTACTTATAGCTAATAAAGTCCCTTTAAACACAAGCTGATATGTGACACTAAAACCCTGGGGGTCAGCAAGGCCCTAACTGTTCCTCACAGCCGCTGAGTTAGAGGAAGGCATAGAGAGATGCTTCAAAGCCATGGCGAAGTGGGAGGCCCTCTCATCTCCACTGAAACACCTTTTCCTTAAAGGTATCTTCTTTTCTTAAAAGGAAGAGAAGAGCAAGGCAGGTTGGGAAGAGCACCAGGCTACTGACCTGGTCCAGGTTTGTCACTTGGCTGTGTGACCAAGGACAAGCCACTTGCCTGTTCTAGGTCTTAACTTCTCTTTCTGAAAAGAGGAAAGCAGACCCCTCACTCTCCAAGGTCTGTTCTGGCTCTAAGGTTCTGTGATTCTGAGTTCCTCTCTCCTGGACCCTTAGGAAGCTGGCCATAATATCCTTTCTCTTTAAACTCCGGGCCAGCATGGCAGCTTTGAGAGGGTGAAACAGTTGTGATGGCCATGCTAAGTTAACCTCGAGTTAAGAATGCAGTCATCAAAGAGCCACTGATAACAGATCAGTTTCTGGATGCTTAACTCTACCAGTTGCTCGTAATGGAACTGGAACCTCTCTTCCATGGGAGGGCACGGCGAGGGGCCAGTGCTGGAGCGTAGCTGAGAGCGAGGACCTGGGTGAGGGGACCTGGATTCTGGGCCAGTCCTGTGCTGCAGGCAGAGCCCACGCCTAGGACTTCAGAGATTCAGTAGTGAGAATAACAACTTGGGTCCATGTAGACAAAGGAAATGGGCCAATTCAAGAAATTATCTGAATAGTTCAAGTGGAACAAGCACACCTGAAAAAAACTAAGAAATTGAAAGAAAATTAGCCTCTCAACATACATTTGTCCCACCTTTCATTTCCTGATCAGAAGAAAACATGTCTCGGAAAGTGATCTACTTTCTCCTCTCGAACATCCTTCCTCCCTTCTTTTCTCATCTCTCAAATCCGTCCCTTTCTCCATACTTCCCCAGAGTTTCAAGTCCAGGAGACTAGGATTTCAGGATGAAGATCTGTGTGCAGAGGATGAGAATTTGGCCTAACAATCCCTCAGGAGAAAACTGAGCTCTCAGAGCTCAAGTGATCAGACCAGTTGGTGAACATCGAAGAATGTCTGGCAAGTGTCACCTTTCTTGGCATCGATTCCCAGTGTCCCCACTCAGACGGAGTCCAAACAACTACAATTACCCTGTTCAACCAGGGCCTGCATCCTGCTTTAGCTGAATCAAAATCCTAGGGACCAGAGAGGGTTATCGGTTCATCTTCCTGCCCCAGGCACCTCAGGACTCCCTGACAGTTGAGGGAGAAGCTTTTGCTGTTCACCTCCAAGATTCCAACGGTCTGTTCTGTTCTTCCCAGGGGGTGGGGTGCAGTGGGGAGCCAAGTGAGATGGTATATGAAGAGAGCTGTGAGATTTGGATATTTTTCCAGAGAGGTGGTAAGAAGGCTCCTGAAGTGAACTGCGCTTGTCCCAGTGAAGGGAATGTGAGGCAGAGGGCCCTTTTGTTCAGAATTCTTTTGCATTTGAGAGTCGTGCTAGTTGGATGAACCAGCCAACCCTGTTCTTTATTTCCTTGTGTGTTTTGTCTTACATAACACTCAAATGAACCCAGGCCAAACAGATAATGGGTTCTGAAAGTTCAAATAGTGAGAATGACATACCCATATATGCACAAAGTGGGACAGGGCCGACTTATGATTTGAACAGGGACATGTGGTGACTAGATGCTCAACCTTTGAAAGCGTGGTCACTTCTATTTGTTGGCGTAACAACTAATAGAGCAGAGATGTGTAGTGAAAGTTTTGGAACAAGACAAACTGGGTTTAAATAGTACCTCATTATTCAAGTGCCAGCTGCTGGGGTCTCAAAGATAAACAAGACAAAATCCTAACTGATGACCATTTTCCTAGCTCCACCACCTGTGGATATCAATAGCCTATTAATGGATGTATCATACATATCTTATGTGCCTCCTCACATTCGCTAGCCCTTGCCTTTCTCCTGGCTCCGCAGCTAGCCCCACAGGCAACCGAATCTGTGCGGTCCAGTCACCTGGGACTGACTAGTCACTTGCCCAACCAAGTCCCCTCAGGCTGGCCAGCCACACATCTGGCGTCTCTGACTCCTCCACCACTTCCGGACTCAGAGGAAATGCCACACTGCAGGATGCGGCTTCTAAGCAGCCATCAAAGGGGCTAGATGATGTGTCTTAGGGAATTAATTTCCTGTGGGAAGCATTTGGATCAATGAGAAGAGATGGGAGGGAGCTGGGTAGGTGAATTCTCTTTTCTTCCTCCCTCTATGGGCTGTCCCAAGCCATGATTTTCCAGCACAGCCTGTCTGGAGATGTCCTGCTTGGCTGAGCAGACCTACCTCCTGAGGAACTGGCCATGGCTCTCTGCAGTTGGCTGGGGAGCAGTTACCTGCATGATCACATATCGCCTACGTTACTTCTCATCCTAGCCTACCTCGTTTCCCGTTTCGCTCACTCTTGCTGCCTTCTCAATCAGATTTAATCTGTGCTTCAGATTCTGTTTTCTAGGGAAATGGAACTAAGACAATTGATTCCACAAGTGGTTCTAGAAAGTAAATCCTCAGGATGGGTTTGGGACTTGTAATGCCTACCTGTCTGAAATCAATAGACTCCTTTGCTGGTGAGGAGAGGAAAGGTAATAACTCTGATATGCAATAGCACCACAGCTTTCCCTTGTGTTTAATTGGGGTGAATTGGGTGGAGAGCAAGACTCTGGGAGATCAGGGAGCTGTGGCACTCAATCCGTTTGGAAACAATGATAATTATAAGGTACCAGAGACCTTGGAAGCAGAAAATGACAGGCTCAGAGCAGTTAATCACCAACTCATAGAATGCTCTGAAAGACGGAGAGCCTCCATGGTAGCTTTAAGAGAGAGTCTTATTTCCTGCAGCCATAGGATGGACTCTTCAGATCAAGCCCAGGACCTTATCACAGGGTAGCAGAACTGCAAAGGATATGAAATGCATGGCCTTCAAGGGCTTCCATGTCAAAGTCAGAGCTCTGATAGGGAAAGAGTGGGACCCTGAGACCTGGAACAGGGATGTCTCAGTGGATGAGCATCTCGACCCTTCAAATCCCATGTGAGTGCTCCTGCCCAATGAAGAGCCCTTTCTCCATGGCTTGTTCTTGTCAAGACCTGGCCTCACCACCTACTGCCTCCACCAATACCCAGAGTCGAGCTGCAGCAGAGCCCACGCTGGGAAGCAAAAGCCCTGCTCCAGGGAGAAACAGCGTACCTGCCAAAAATATTGTAGGACTTGGCTAACGTGTACTGGCAGGAACCTTGGAAATGTGTGTGGGAGTGGATCTGGAAGATGTTATATTTGGGGATAAGGGTAAAGCAGAAAGCTCATTGGGGAGAATTCATCGATTTGGGGATATCATATAGAACTCAGGATTTAATGTTCTAGCAAGCAGGCCTGGAGCGTGTCCCAATAGTTTGCTGGGTTGGCTCTTTGAAGCTTATCTCAACCATAGCCTATAATAAGCAAAGCAGGCAAGCCAGACTTCCTTGTGTAGTGTTGAGGAAGCCGTCAGAAGACCCAGGAAGGAGGGACTATTAGAAGAGTTTATTAGTATGGCTCAAGAACCTGCCACCTGACTAATTCCCTGGCCAGCCACAAGGACACTCCCTTCCCTGAGGCAGTAAAGAATGCACTGGTGAGGAGGCTTTTGGAGCAGTTGGTAGTGGCTATCCTTGTAGTCCAGGGTTGACGGTAGGGGGAAGGGAGCTGTGTAACTGGGCTCCCTACTACTAGTGAAGATAACAAAAATCCCAGAATTGCAGGGGCCAGGTGAGAGCACTTAATCACAAAGGACAGGGTGGATATACACCACAATGGGCAGCAAGGTAGAGGAGCGATCAGGGTGAATTTCTCTGCAGGGACTCGTGGCTCTGGCTAATCGATCATGTGTTCCTAGAGGAAGGGTATTCATATAATTTTTTTGTCCAAATTGAGCTACTTTTGAGAGTGCAAAGGAGTGCTAGTGATGATTACACGGGGACAACTGGTGTACACCAGGGCCACCCCAGTCAAACTGATACCTATGGTCACCCTACCAAGGGTGAGATAGATGACTAGCCAATCAGGGTGTTGCTAGATTTGTATAATCAGAAAGAACAGCTGGTGAGCGGAAGGCTGACTTCAGTCACCATAGTGAAAGATCATAGGCCTTCACCTAATTTCCAAATCTAAGCCAGATCTGGCCCAAAGCTATTGCTATTGCTGAGTGAGCCCAATTGG